ACGAACTACAAATAATTAAAATTAATACATAAAAAATATTTTAATATTATTTTATTTTTTTTATATGCTTTATTTAATTATATTTTGTCTGATTTTTATTATTTACTAAATATTTAGTAAAATACATATATTAAATAACCTAATAAATAATATAATATATTAATTACGAACTACAAATAATTAAAATTAATACATAAAAAATATTTTAATATTATTTTATTTTTTTTATATGCTTTATTTAATTATATTTTGTCTGATTTTTATTATTTACTAAATTTATTATTTTAATAATTAAATATTATTATATTATTTAATATATTTATTTATTTAATATTATTTAATAATTTATTATTATGTATACTTATTAGTAAATATTTATTTAATATATTAATAAAAATTAAATGAATTTAATAATGTATATTAGTATAAAAAAATTAATGATAATAAACATTTGATTAAACAATATAACTAAATAATATTTATTCATTTATTTAGATATATATATATATAAACAATGTAATTAAATAATATTTATTCATTAATGATAATAAAAATTTTGTTAAACAATGTAATTAAATAACATTTGAATAATGTATATATATTATTAGATAAAATGATATTGGTAGATATAAAATTGAAGTTAAATAATAAACATTATTGGTGTTAGCTCAAGTGGTTCAAGTGCTCTTTTACTCCCCCATTGGACTAGGGTTCGATCCCTCTCCTTTTATTTTTTTGCAATTATGGCACATAATTGCCACTTAAGCATCCAACTCAGCAAAAAAAAAAAATAAAAAAAATTGAGCGAATTTCCACGCAGGCAGCCGGTAAATCTGACATGCTGTAGACGGTCAGAGGACCAAAAAACTAATTTTTTTTCACTTAGGGGACTATTTCCAAAATCAGTCCATTTACGGGACCAAAACGAAAATGGCCCATTTACGGGACCAAAACAAAAATGGCCTGCAGATAAAGGACGAAAAAACTGTTTTTTCCGCTTCCCAAGTATAATGCTCTACTGCACCTGGTCTACCCCTCCCACAAGCTGCAACAGAAACATTTTCGATTAATCCAAATCTATCAACAAGAACACCCATCATGAACTACACAGTCCATAAGAGCATCTTTTTCAGTGAATATATTACCTTACGACTGCACATTTGACGCCAATTCCCGAACCCAAATCTCGAAGTGCTCGACAATTTGAATGGCGAGCTCGCGAGTAGGAGAGAGCACGCAGGCGAAAAAAGCCTTCGGGACCTAGAGAAGCGCCTGCAGAATCGAAACTGCAAAGGCACTGGTAGGGGTGTGCATCGGTCGATTCGTTCGACTAATGGAGAAATAATGAAGCATCAAACATTCATTTCGACTAATCAAAGGATTCCTGAAGCAAAATCCCTAGACAATTGAAATAAAATTCAAATCTTCCCAACAAAATGCAGTAAAACCAATTCCTGAAATAGTAATTAAACCAATTTCTGAAATAGTAATTAAAAGCCAAAACAATCAATGCACTGTCAAAGAACTCCATGATGGCATTCAACACTATTAACCCATTCCACCAACACAATAAATATCACTCCATATCTAATCAAAATGTTAAATTGCTTGTAATTAGGTGGAAAATAAAGCCCAATAAAAGTAAGGGAAACCAATGCACAGTTTTAATAATAAAAAAAAAAATCAGAAAAAAAAGCATACCTTGAAAATACGAGGACTCAGAAATCCTGGGATTAGGTCTGGACATCCTTTAACTCCAAGCTCAGGGCCCGGCGACCGACGACCGGCGTTATATATATAGTTTGGTGGGTTAGGTTATTTCGGACATTTGATGTTCGAGAATCGACACTGACTGAACTCACCGAAAAATTAAATAGTTTGGTGGGTTAGGTTATTTCAAACATCTTATGTCCGAGAATCGATACTGACTGAACTCACCGAAAAATTATAAACTCAAAACCAAAAACTGATTGAGTCGGATAAAAACTAAACTGAATTTTTTATTTCAGTCGATTTTTTCGGTTTTGGTCGAAGTATGAACACCCCTAGTTACAAAACCAATCTTCAACCTTTTCACAATTCCACACAAATAACAATTAATTTTTTTTTTTTTTTTTTTTT